TTTATTTTATTGTTATATGTACTTTCATTTTACATCAGAGGAAAAAGAAATTTCTATACATAAGAAGTCATCCATCCGATGGCAGCCAGCTGAATACTGATGCAGCTAGTACGTGCTTAATTAAACCAAAAAGGGGGGAAAAATACAAGGGATTTAATTTAATTTAATTTGGTGGTTTCTAGCGCGGGGATATGAGACCAGGCTAATTAATAATCTGATCAAGTTCACTAATTAATTATCCGATTTATGAAATGGTACTTGGAAAGAAATTCCGTACGTAGTTTATGGTACGTAGTAATTCAAAGCGGGAATCTCCTATGTATTATTTTTGTAGTACGTACTATCCAAACAGAAAGGATTAATTAGTGGGCAGCTAATACTACTATTAGGAATGGTGCAATACAGTTGTCAATGATAATTACGTTATTTTTGGCTGGCAAAAGCAAAACATTCGACCTCTCGTATGAAAAATTTAAGTAGCCATTAACCACTCTGCCCCGGCCAACAATTGGAGCTAGTACTAACTAATAGATACGCGTCTATCCATCTTCTCCGTATACAAAATGCATTAGAATGTTCACCGGATCCGGGCAACCAAGATCCGGGTGATGCATGTCAATGACACATGATTGACATTTTGGCAGCACCAAGACTGGCGATTTGGAAGTAAAATAAATGAGAGCCTTGACACGTACGTAAATATTACATACTCTTTTTAGCGAGCGAGTGCCAAAAGTGGTCGTCGGGTCTTAGCTGCTTGAGAAGTGAGGGAGCAACTGCACATATGATATAGCTAGCGGGCGTGCATGCTGCATTGACCTAATTGAGGATATAGTATAATACCAGTACCATGTATTTCGATCACATGACCCTGAACATAATATTATGTTAAACATCGTCATCGTGTCGGCATTACGGATATATAGAGAGTCTAATTTGAGCAGCATGCAGCTTTATTAATTAGACATCATTTGACTTGCCGTCACAGACTTGATTGATCCATCCAACTCCCTTGTTCCCTTTGATTAGGGGTGTGCAATAGTGCTCTCAAAGTTTTGACTGGGGCGGGTTAGTGTAATACTAATTAATTAGGAACTGCCTATTCAATGGCTGCAATGAAATTAACCAACCCGGAATGAATTCGTTGAATTGGAACCCATATGTGTGTAATTAATTAGTTGTGCATGCATGTATGCTAATTAACAATTATGCATCAAAGAAGAAGAGAAGAAAAAGGAAAAACATGTAGCTAGTACGTACATCCTTAATCTTCGACCTACTAAAGTGCGGTAGTACTATATGCTTCGTACTTTTGGATGTAGCAATTTTGTGTCAAAGCCCCGTGAGTGGTCTGTCTCTATATCAACACACTAAAATAGTGATAATAAACAATGAAAAGGAGGGAAGATACAGCAACAGCGGAGGAGGCGAGCTGATAATGCGTCTTGGATTCATTTTGCAGGAAAGAAAAATTATTGAAAGCATTACTAGTAGTAGTATATACTAGCTGTCAATGCATGCCTGCAAAGTGCAAAACACCTCTCTCACGGGGGGATCCGGATCTCTTGAGTCGTCTTCATGCACCCAAACCCCCTCTCTCCCCCACTCTCTCTCGTCTTCATTTATGCTCTCCTTCCATGGTTTGTACGTAAGCCATATACAGTACTGTTCCATATAATACTGCGCCTAACACATCATCATTTTCTATCTCATTTCATCAAAATGTCCCATTAATTTCCCCTCCACAAGCAACTAGTCGTAATTGTATGTATACTCCAATACCCCTTCCCGACCCAAAATAGAAAATTTTTAAATGAAAAAAAGAATCCAAAGTGCAAGCATACTAGTCAATTTAATTAGTGGGCATGTGATCAGTCCGTCTATTTCAAGTTTCATGGACTATAACATTTACATTACGCGCAGTACGTAATCATCCCTGGCTCCCAATTAATTAATATGTTTAATTCTTTTTTACGCCTGCGACTTATGGCGTGTCAAAACTTGATACTACCCGATTTCCATATACGGTATCAATAGACTTTTAGTAGCTAGACAAGGAGCTGAGATGGGAATTTTGCACCATGTCTTTACCCTTGTTTGGTATTGTGCAGAATTTGTGGTCATGTCTGATGATTTAGAAGTTGAGCAGTCAAGCACTTACATGTTCAGTATATTTACCCCAATGCAACATTATGCCTTTATCAATTATATATTCAGAAGTTTTGTTGTAAAATATCAAACCAAGGAGGAGAAAGGTTCCATTGAACAAAGATGACCCTAATACCTAATTCGGACGTCTTAACTCCCTGTGTTGCATAAAAGGGTGCAAGTTGAAGTGGACTGATATATTGAATGTGTGTCTCGGATTTATGTAGTCTATGACATTATGTTTTAATTATAATAAGGATAACATTTTAGGGAATTTTTATTTTAAAGGAAATATATGCAATTTCCATTTTGGAGATGCGAGGCCAAAAAATGAAAGCTTCGCATGAAAAATTCAATGTTTCTTATGATAGGAAGAGAATAGAGGCAAAAGGAAAAAGTCCAACATTCTCAACTACGCACTCAAATTCAGCTAACACTCCTATTTTAGAGTGGTAAGGGACATCAACGTTTGTCAATTGATACAGCATCGTCGAGCCTGGCTTATCTCAAACCCTATGGTAATTATTTTGTTTTATTCTGAAACTGAAATCCTATCTTTTTGATGGATGAGAGATAGAAAAGAAAAGGGCGTCCCTACGCTGAAGTAACTAGTTATGGCGCCTGTAATGTAAGAAAACTTAGAAAACTAACTTTTTCACTCTTAACTATAAAATGGAAAACTAAATTTTGCTCCCTTCAACTTATGGATACAGTTCTAGAAGCGAACTACACACATAGGCTATTATGCACGAACAAGTCACCTGATTCATGATATCTGCTGGAATCTGTAAAGCCAGTGTAGTTTGTTAGCAGTACTTGTTTTCCTTGCATTAGTTAGCACTTTCCAAGCAGGAAATCAGAGCGGGAAAGAGGTTCCACTTTAAAAGGGGGTTGCAGTCAAGTCTTGAACACGAGGATTAGTTGCGGTCAAGTTTTGACTGCGGTTTCTAATCTAAAGACGAAAACGACAGGGGTTTCTAACACCCTTCTGAGTTCTGACCGTGTGCGTTGCTTGCGGAAGAGCAATCACAGGGAATCAGAGCGGCCAGTTATTGGCGGACACTTATAAATGCCGGCAGTTTAATACACAAACATACATGCAATAGTAGGTAAACGCGCACGTAATAAATTGTAATTTAAAAAAAAAAAAGTAAAAATAGAATAAGAGGGGAAGAAAAAAAAAGAAGTGAAGTAGAAGAAGTGGCAAAAATGGGGATAGGGGTATTAAATTTGGGTAAATTCCAGTAGCATTTCAAGGAGAAAGGCTAAGTAAGAGAGTAACGACAATGGATTCATTCTGGGATCACCTGGCCGCTGACCACTGAGGCTTTATACTACTAGTACTAAGAGTGAGGAAATATGAGGGACAAAGTTGTCACTCAGAACTATCTATCACTATTTGCCGCATTCTACATACAGTATAGATGAGTGGTGTGTACGCAGTACTGGTAAAATGAATTGAGCCAAAAACGTGGGTGGTGCTTGTGAACCTTTGAGGTACTCATCATGCAGGAAACAAACAAAGAGAGACGGTGTAGGTTTTGAGAGCTCTTCTTTCCCTTTAAAAAAAGCCTCCATCTCATTTTCAAGACCCAAGCAGCACGCTGTATATCTGACAAAGACAGAAAAATAAGAGGGTGGGTTGAAAGGTAAAAGATCGGGAGGAAGAAGAAGAAGAAGCATGAGTGGCTCCAGCGAACGAAAGAAAGCAGCCTTACATGGAAAGTTGCAGCAACTTCGTTCTGTAACTAACTCCACCGCGGTAAAACTATACTTTCTACAGTTTGTCAAATTCTGGGTTCGTCTGATCAGTTTTTGAATTTCTATGCATTCGATGTGCAGTATTAAGAGTACTACAGCATTTGTTAAGAAAAAAAAGATAGAAAAAACTACACTATAGCATGGAACTTGTTGTCCTATTTTGGTTGTTTATTCATGAACTACATTTATATGCAATTCGACGTGATCAAGATCAGCAAATGAATAAATTGAACAACTCATCATTACTCACTTTCTTCTTTTCTTCTTTTTTCACTTACTTCGATAATCATTATAATTATTGGGTGGTTCTCCGGACAGAGAGGCATCATCTTATGCTGGCAATTTTGGCATAGAGTGGAAATCCAGCTGACGGAGAATCTCTTGTTTTTGTTCTCTTCTGTTTCTTTTTTCCGGGGGTTTTGGGGACAGGAAGGATTTAAAGTTAAAAGAAAAAAAAAAATCTCGTGGTAGATTAATGTGGACTAATAGCATAAGAATGTGATGGAAGCGCTGTTCATGCTATGAGTTTAACTTGTTAATTAAGATGCCATGTATTAATATTTTCTTCAGTTGTAGTCGTTAGTTGAACTTATTGTTAATGGTCTGGATTGGAACCCAGCTGATCAGCTGAGAGCCGCCATTATTTTTTAGGTTGAGCTAGGCAAGACGAAGTAGCCTCTGCACATACCCTTTATTTGAAATTTGAATAGTACTCCTGACCATCCTTCCGCGTTTAATTACGTCAAAATTCCAATTCGTCTTTCATTAATTGAATCGAGAATTTGTAATTGGCAGGTGAATACAGCATCCATCATAGTTGATGCTTCGAGGTACATAAAAGAGTTGAAGGAAAGAGTAGAAAAGAAATATCAAGATGTTGCAGCAACTTCACAAATATCATCAGGTGACCAAACGCATTACCCGCGGTACAAGTACTTTTCATGTCATCAGTTCAATGAGAGTCATCTGTTTGTTTTCTCCCCACTGAATTGAGTAGCTAATTTGTTCCGGCCACTTGTTCGTGGGTTTTGATCATCCATCAGGTAACCGTGGAAACCCTAGAAAAGGGATTTCAGATTAACGTGTTTCAGAAAAGAACTGCCCTGGCCTGCTGGTATCCATTCTGGAAGCCTTCGAGGAGCTAGGTCTGGAAGTATTGGATGCTAAGGTTTCTTGCTCGGATAATTTCCGCCTCGAGGCCGTTAGTGAAGTAAGAAAATTCCCTTCTTTTCATCTCTGTACGTTGCAGCAACTTTAATTACATCATCAGTTTTTTTAAGTCATTACTTTTGCTGTTGTGATTAATGTGTTTTCCAATCTCTCACATTTGTTGTTCAAACATCACTCACGTGCAGCTGTGAATCATGCATTATGCCTCATCATTTGGCCACACATTTCGGCTTCTCTACGGATGATGAGTGGTTCACAATATGTAGGCGGTGACCTATGCGTTGTTTCACTTGCTCTAAAATCCTCACACTGCGTTAAATGTAGTCTCTTTTTTTATTTTTTTGGGGGGGGGGGGGGTGGGGGGATTTTTTTAGTGCAGTACTTTGGCCTTCTTTTTTTTTCCCCCCGTTATTTTGGCCTTTTTTTCACTATACATATATTGTACGTGCATTGGATTGTGTTGGGTCTAGACAAACACATCTACATCTAGATCAGAGAGGGGTGTTTTGACACATTTTTTAAGATTTTTTTCCAACTGCACTGCATTGTGCTTGAGCCCTCGACTTACACCTCAGAAAAGGAGATTTTACATTTCTTTTGATAACTAACTTGCATAAGACAAGTTGGTTGCATTTTGAATTGGATATGAAAGTTGAATTCGTTGAGATTGATGCATGTGAAAATGAAAGAAAATTTCTTCTTTTTTCCTAGAACGAAGGGCAAGAGGATAACATAGATGCCCAGGTGGTTAAACAGGCAGTGTTACAGGCCATCAGGAACTGGAGCGCAAGTAGTTATGAACAAGAATAACCTTTTCAGCAACAAGGTCAATGTAATGTTAGTTCTCTTCTCTCTAGTTTTCTTTAGATCCTTGCTCTTCTTGTTGTGGATTCGTAGCGTGCAGTAAGAAATCATCTGATGAAAAGGCGGAGCACTCAATCTTTTAAATTCTATTAATGATCTAGTGGTGAGCAAATTCAGCGTGTTTGGATTGAAAATTATTTGGCAAAATTGCTTTTAAAGATTTCGTGTAGCACTTTTTTTTCCTTGTAATTTGATGCACGTGAAATTTAAAAAGTAATTGAAAAAAAATTAAAAAGTGATTGAAAATATATAGAGAATATCAGGATTTGAACTTTTGTTTACTGTCATGTAATGCTTCCCAAAAGTCTGTTACATTGGAGGAAGACAAATTATAGAGAGATCAGCTTTCCTCGATCGATCAGTTGGAGGACTAATTAATTTTATGTGTCATGTAGCAAAAGTTCATTCTCTTTCAAAAACAAAAACAAAAACAAAAACAAGAGGAAGACAACAAAGAATAATAAATAAAAGAACAGCATATCTTGGGATGTAAGTGACATTAAAAATAATTGTCATCAATCAGCACATTAAATTGTATAGAGCTCACTCACCCACTGTAGTTTTGACTTGTGCTGTTACGCTGTTGATGAGTGAAACTGGACGCTCTTTGCTTGGTCCTGCAAAAACTGAGAGGAAAAATGATTAAAAGAAGTGGAAAGCAGATGGTCCACATAGTATATTAGGCTGCAGTGAGAAAAATGAGATGAAGAGGTCTAAAATGAGCAGAAGGGGAACTGCGAGCATAATGATGGCGTTTCTCTCGACTCTCGTGTTACTTTTGTAAATACTAAATAAATGGGACCGGACGACTAATGGTGTTCATATTTTACTGCTACTAGTACCTGTGCTTTATCCATCTTCAACCCCAAAAAGGAAACGATCAGATCAGATGTTCAACTTCGAGTGAGGGAATGCCTGCCGTGAGTGATGGTATAGTTTGGCAGCAGCAGCAGCAGCGTATAGGATAATGCAATGGTGACAGAGCTTCTGAGGCCAGAGGCTGTACTCCTATTAAAACACTCAGAATTTGATCGGTTGTATTAATTAGTGGCACGGTTTATGTAATTCCAACTCAGAAGGGTTGTCTTCAGTAATGCTCCAGAGGTTAGTAAATTTTCGATCTGGAACGCTATTGTGTTCTGGTTCCATTTCACAGAACGCCGTGTATAAATGGAAATAGGAACAATGATTGACGGAGCGACTCTGCAACTAAGGTTTAGTTAAATGTTGACAAGAAAGCTTCTGCTGCTTGTTTTTATACATTCCTAGAATTTTAAGCACAGTCTCTTTTTTTTTTCAATTTATTATGAATTTATACAAATATGAATAATTTAAATATAAAAATTAGCTACAGTTCTATATGTTTATTCATATTAATTTTAAAAAATTAATGTATTTTACATGTTCAATTATTTATTAAATTTTAAAAATTTGTTCAATAATTGTGATTTAAAAGATTTTACTATACTTCTATGTAATAATTTGGTAGAAAGCAAATATTATTAAGATAAGATTAGTTATTTTAAAATTAAAGATAATTTTTAAACATATAATATAATCATTGTAATAATTTGATAGAAAGCAGATATCGTTAAGATACAATTAGTTATTTTTAAAAGTTATTTTAAAATTAGAGATAATTTTCAAACACATAATATAATCCAAATACGATTCAGTATGGGTAAAACCCAAGTGACCCATAGCCCTTTAATTCTCTTCAATTAGGCATACCACATAGGAGTGAGAAATACTGTAATTAAAATAGCTACTTTTATATATATATACCCATATATATTCTTTTGCTCTTTCTTTGCCACCCCCTAATTTGTTCAACAACCAATACTGAAATAAATAATAATAATAATAATAATAATAAATGTATTAACTTTTTATACACTGACACTGCAGTGATTTTTCAACATTAGCAGCTATGGATACATGTCACATGCGCATGATTAAAATTTCAAATTTGAATTCATCTTATGTGATTTAATCTAAACTTACCTATTAGTGTGTATGCTAAGAGTATGTAAGAAAAAGAGTTATCCATAGTGAATAACAAGACAAGTTCGCTGGGCTGGGCTGTGCTTTGTTAGTTGGACCGATGATCTGTGCATCTCATCGCGTCGGCAGGCTTAGAAGCCAGGCTGGCTGCTTGTAGCTTCTTGGATTGCGATCAATAGCATTAGCAATTACACTGGGCTTTGTAAGCGATAATGTGTTGGTTTGATATCAGCCCAAGGACTTGGAATTACTCGGAGATTAGATATTCGTGCACTTGTACTTGATTAGCGTCGCTCTTGATCGTGGTCGGGTGCTGTCAATATTTTATTTTAATTATATTTCTTTCGTGGGGGTCAAGCGGCAACTTTGGTGCTGATGCGATGCCAATCGAGTGTCGCAATTGGTACTTCAATGTCAAATAAAAGAATCATGCAACAAGTCAATTGTGACTTACATAATTGATATACTCAAGGAGGAGTGGATTGCGTGATAGAGGGAGGGATTGATTGGAGGTGATACGGAGAAGGAATATAAGTAAGAGGTTTTGGTTTCAAAACCTTTCACTCATGAAAAAAAAAAAAGAAGAAAATTATTGATATTTAATAATTAATTTTTTTTATAAAAAGCAAATTTTATTAATGAATTGATGGGATTGTCCAGTATGATTTGATTTATATCACTATCTTAATAGCTGTAAACATCCATTAAAAATTATAGATCCGTAATTTAACAGATATGATAAATTTGAAAAATTATAAATAGATCTAAAAAATTTTAAAATTGTCTTCTAATAAGATAAATTGATGTAGTTCTCTAGCGTGCATGTTGCAATAGTCAAATCTACTTATAAACAACTTTAAACTCTAATGATGATGATGAGATCTATCAAAATAGATCAGAGATCTAAAAAGAATTCAAATCTGATTTGAAATAAAATAGGTCCTAGCAACAAAATAAGAAAGTAAAATACAAAAATCTCCATAGCAACCCTTAGGAGAACAAATAATTATCACTAAAAATCTCTAGGAGAAATATAGAACTCTCACTAAGAAAACTTATGAGAGATTTTATTAAAATAAACAAAATTCACCGAGAAAGTTCATAGTACGGTCTCCCTTCTTAAGAGGGAGGCCTTGAAAAATGGGAAGTTGTAGACAAAAGTTAGAAGGAGGAGAGATAGAAAGGCGATATCCTAGATGGTATTTGGATTGCAATTTTTTATCAAAAAATTTTTACATTTTTCTGTGGATATAAATTTTAATTATTTTTTAATTTTTTATATATTAAATTGTTACAGGACATCTTTCTTTAAAAAAAAAAACTCGGAAAGATAGAAATCGAGATGGGACATAAAATTAGTGGAGTAGGAATCCACGATGACATAAAAGCGAGTGTAGGTTTGATTCATTTGTTTTAAACTAGAGTTGAGATTAAACATGGAAACATGCATGGATGTTGCGTTATCTCCATAAACACATCGCAGTTAGAAAGGGCCGCAGCCCAAACGATGCCCACTGGTAATGGGACGACTTGTAACAACACATTTTAATTGATAATACTAGGTCTGATTTCACTTTCAAACTTTTTTTTTTTTCCTTCTTGTCGTCTTCTCTTTGAGAAAAAGAAAGAATGCAAAAAAAAAAAAAAAAAAAAATCTACCAAGTATGTATTATTATTATTATTATTTTTTTATGGTGGTCCGCGACATTGTGTCAATTCTAAATTCCCAAATGCTTAAACATTGGATAACAATTCATTTTAGGTGGAAAGGAAAATGACCATCTAGAACCAACAAAAAAAGAAAGCCAAGGAATGAAGACTAAAGACTAATTTAGAAAACGTGTGGGGTCGTAAATGAGTTTTTTTCCTGCCCGCAAAGTGTAAAACCGTGTTCTGTCGCATTTTTCCTTTGTTAAACCCTTTTTTTTTTGTTTTGTCGTCCTCCAAACCGCCCTTCACAATTGTCAAACAAAGTAAAAAAGTGGGCAGTGCTGAGGATACAATCATATCATACCAAATGCGAGAACGACATCAATTTTGTCCTCCCTTTCTGAGCTGCTATTCCTTCATCCTTAATGCTTTGAAGCATGAAATCCCCATCTCCACTTCGTTATTTGACTTTGACTTTTCAACTCCATCGTTTTCCCCTTCTTTTTCTGGACTAACATAATCTTCTGTACTCCAGGCATCAAGTTGGAAGGTCCCAAAGTTATTACATTATAGCACTCCTATCAAATAGTTTAAACCTCTATCAAAATTTTAACGGTTTCTATTACCGGTGGTGCATCCATGAAATATCGCTTTCGATTTGTTGAGATCAATCCCAGCGTCTCAAGCCTCTGCTTGACGCCTTTAATGCTAAAGTCACGCGCATTAATGCTTGAACCCCGAATCCCGATCCAAAAGAAAAATAGATAAATTTAAAAACGGACTCATATGATTCGAGACTTGTGTCCTCTAAATCACATTTAGGCCTAATTTGGGAGTGTTGAAGGGGAAATAAGGGAAGAGAAGAGAAGGTTCAAATTATAAGAGAAGAGAATGGGAGGGTAGGGATGTTTAAGTTGTTTGAAAGTTTAAAAAGGATTTGGAGTGATTGTGGACATATTAGGTATTAAAAATTTGTTCAGTGATATACTATGGACAATTTTGGCATGTAGAAAAGATTTGGAATCTTTAGGGTGCATTTGATAAAAGAAATTTGAATCTGTTAAGTTGCTGAATTATTAATTATTATATCTAACATATTTGAGTATATATCATATTATTTAATAAGTGAATATTTTATCACTTTTTTTTTGGACCAAATTTTGTTTAAAAATTTCAGTGTGTGACAGCCCCACCTTCCCTAAGGCGAACCAAAGGGGTTAGCGGACTGCCTGCCCAGCTCTCGCCAGGACTACGGTACAGTTAACGTCGTTCTATAACGTTCCGGAACACACCATTGCACGCAAACAAGTCAGAAAACACAAAATAAAAAAAAACGAAAATTTGCGCCGAAGATGAATAGTGCAGGCCACGTCAGAATCCGGCCGGAATCTGGCCGGATTAGCGGCCGGATTCTTGGCCGGATACTGTCCAGTGAGCATTTCGAATTTTTTTCAAAAGTTCCACTCAATCCGGCCGGCAATCCGGCCAAGATTCCGGCCGGATTGTCTGGCCGGATACCGGCCAGTGAGCAACTGGCCGGATTTTCAAATTTTCACAGGCAATCCGGCCTTCAATCCGGCCAGTTTCTGGCCGGATTCCTGGCCGGATTCAGGCCAGTGACCTTCGGTCAAATTTTTTTTCTTTTCCGTTTGAAAGCCGTGGTGATCCGAAATCCATCCAAACATTTACCAAACATATATATACAATGGAAACCAACATTTACAAGCCAAACGGCCTACCAAAGTATCCATTTCGTTCATACATATACAATAGCCATTTACCCCAAACATTGGTGCAATCAAAGCACTTAGGGTTTTCACCCTCAAGGAGCTAATCAAAATACATATACATGAGCTCAACTTGTCATTCAACTATTACAACCTTTTCCAAAAGTATTCATTTTCCTGTAAGGAAAACAAATGGAACGGAGTGAGCTAAAGCTCAGTGAGCAACTATCACAATAGCAGTTAAGATCACATAAGCATAACCATTCAATTCAAGTATGCAATTTCGAAGTAAGCAATTCAGTGAAAGGATACGGTCGGCTCTCAAGAGCCCATTTCCACGCTTACATTCTTGATCCACACTCATTGACCCTCCGTCAATGTTAAAAGTACCAAACCGTAGACCTCACTTCACTTCCATTCCTTCCACCCAACATACCCCAACCGGGCCCGCACTCCATTCAGTCATTTTGGTAATACTCGAGTATACCGGAACCAAAGGTCTCATTACCACAAGGTTCCTCAGTACAGTCCCCGTGGCATGACAATTTTCACGACCAAGCCCTCGCCGGCTCGATCCAATTGACTACCAAACGGGGTTGAGCTCAGTAATACAGTGAAGCCATTGGACATTCGCCCAAATGACACCAAATCAGTTTCCAAGAATGGAATTCAGTATCCAGTATATCAAGTTCAGTAATGCAGTAAAACGGTAGCCAATCAGTGATACTATCAAAAGGGGTG